CATATCACATCATATCATATCATATCATATCATATCATATCATATCATATCATATCATATCATATCATATCATATCATATCATATCATATCATATCATATCATATCATATCATATCATATCATATCATATCATATCATATCATATCATATCATATCATATCATATCATATCATATCATATCATATCATATCATATCATATCAAACACATGTTGTTCAATTCCAACAGTCAATATTCATTGTATCTACAGTGCTCTTTAACTATTTTTAGTCTAAGGCCAAATCATAATAACGCTTTAAAACTATTCCTAGTTTAAACCCAAATTCAAATTTTCATAACCGGACTCTTAAACTATAAACTAGTCTAAACCTATTTCATTTAATTAACTAGACTCTTAAACTATGATTACTTTAAGGCTATTTTGTTTGAGTAACCCGACTCTTAAATTGTAATTTGTTTAAGGAAAATAATAACTAGACTCTTAAAATATAAATTAGTTTAAGGAAAATATTCCCAGACTCTTAAACTGTAGTCAGTTTAAGGCAAGAGCCGAATAGCAAAGTACTCACTGTCGAGTCGGGTGGTACCCCCAAACAAATAGATACTCAAGTTTGGTTTTCTGATCCGGTACGTACGTTTTAACCTTGGCCACCAGAAATCATACCTGCAAGGCCTAACTAAATTAGTCACAAGGCGTCTATCTTAGAGTTCTTCTAGATAGCCTTAATCATTCACTATAAACAATAATTCATATGATATATTTATTCATAACAATATTGTACAAACATTATATGATCATAATTACAAGGGGGGTTATTTTAACCCTCATAATCAATATTTAACGAAATCATCATCATTTCATTATTGTATACTCATCATTAAATCATGGTTCAATCATCATGATCAATCATCAACAATAATAATCATAATATTTCATAACAACTAGCAACCCAGCGTTGGGTATTAAGAACCTAGCTTACCGTCATGCATCACACAAGGTTCTTAGATTGGTCAAAACATAATTTTTATTTATAGAAATCATTTTCATATTTATCATAGTTGAATGCTATCAAAAATAGGACTTTATAGCTTAAAAATTAGATTTTTCGTCATGGAAAATTTTTAGAACAGTCGACCATTACCGTTGGGCGGTCGATCGTTCGCACCATGGCTCTATTGAACAAAAAATGGTCAACCATTTAACATCCGCGGTCGATCGTTCCAACGGACGAAGTGGAACGCGTACTGAGCAGAGGACGGTCCACCATTTATAACGGAGGTCAACCATTCTACATGTCGTCATCTTCAACCTCGGGTCCATTTTTGAAATCATTATTTTATGTCACCAAACTTCAAATATACTATATAGAAATATTCTCCAAGGTCCTTAGATCATTTTCGTATCAATAATTCAATGTTTTATCAGCAAATTCAAGGTTTATGATTCTTTGTTCACCAAGCATGTCAAACACAAAACTCAACCAAATGACCATTTATTAACGTAGAAACGATCTATATGAACATTCTAATCACTAGATATATCGAAGGGTTAACTTTCAACAAAGATTGTGGCTAGCTCCGACGACCTTACAACCTCTGGACAGCACCACCACACTCCTCTCAGTCCAAGGAACAAAATAGAAGGAAGAATGAGGAGCATTTGTGAGGAATTGAGGGAGAAGAGGTATGCTTGTAATGCCTCAAAACAAACCCTAAAATTATTAATGAATAATTATTCGATTGAACAAATTTATTTTGATTAATAATAATTATTGTTGGGCTTTGGGCTGAAATAAAATATGTTTTGATATCCAATATCACAATCTAGATAAATCTAATAAAGATAAATCCAATATGTTAACTATTCGTCTAATCTTGATTGGGAACAAGAGTACAGACCCAAATTAAGAATAGATAAAGACTTTTTTTATGATGTAAACTTTGAAATGATTTATTGAAATAAATCATGAGAATAAATAATATGAATTAATTATGAGAACCTTTTTGAGTAAAGGTCAATTAAATACAATTTTTACTCTGTCAATGTCAAACACCCAAAAATATGATGACGGAAAAAGTATTACAAATAGATATAAAATTATATCGTTGGATAGAGTTTGACTATCTAATCGCAATAGTACATACGAATTTTGATTCGGAGAACGTGGACAAAAAAAGTGTACCCCAACTGGGACCAAATTAGTCCAAATTAGGGAACGACGTGTACAATCCAATAAAATTGCAGCCTAGAGCACTAAGCCGTCCGTGATCGTGAATGATGCTTCTCTTCAATGGCAGCATCTTCTCCTTCCTACTATATAAGAAGACCTTTATATCTAATTTCTACACCAAATTCTTCATTTCTTCTTCCATTTCGTCCTTGAGAGTGTTGAGAGTAGAGTGGTGCTGTTCAGAGAGCTGGAGGTCACCGGAGGAAGCTATAGTGTTTGCCAGAAGTTTTGCCAAGAAATTCTCAAACCTTCATTTAAGCTTGAGGTAAGCCCATAGATATATCTAGTTACTAGAATGTTTGTATAGATCGTTTCTTCGTTTATAAAGTTTATAAATGGTCGTTTGGTTGAGTTTTGTGTTTGACATGTTTGAAGAACCAAGAATCATAAACCTTAAATTTGTGTTAAAACTAAGAATTAATGATACCACAATGATCTATGAACCATGGAGAACATTTCTATATAGTTTAATTGATGTTAGGTGACGATGAACAGTAATATTTTTGCAAAATACCTTCGGAGGATCGATCCAAGGGGGTGCATCGATCACTAGAGGTGGATCGATCACCAGCCATGGATCGATCTCATGAACCGGTTGATTTGAATACTTTTCTGAAAATGCTATTTTTGGAGCTCTATTTTTTATACCATTCATTTATATATGATCAATATAAAGACAATTTCTCACAATAAAAATGATGTTTTTGACAAATAAAATCTTATGTGATGTATGACGGTAAGCTTGGGTGTTAACACTCAAAGCTAGGCCACTCTTTGCTATTGAATGTTATATTGATTGATGATTATAATGAATATTATTAATTGATGATTATGTTGATTAAACCTTGATGAATATTCTGATTAGAATGATAATTATGAATGATTGAACCATGACTTAAAAATGAATATATTGATGTTTATGAAAATAGTGTGTATTGAATTTAAGGGTATCAAGAAGAACTCTAAGATACATCCATAGTGATGTTGATTTTTAAGGTTATCTAGAAGAACTCTAAGATATACCCAAATGACTAGGTTAGTTAATTAATGTTGATTTTAAGGGTATCTAGAAAAACTCTAAGATATACCCAAATGACCAGGTTATATCATTAATGTTGATTTTAAGGGTATCTAGAAGAACTCTAAGATATACCCATTGAGTTAGACATTGCTGGTATGATGTTTGGTGGCTAGGGTTAAAACATACATACCGGATCCACAAACAAAACTTGAGTACCTACTCGTTTAGGGGTACCACCCAACCCGACAGTGAGTAGTCCGCTGATCGGTTTCTGGTTGTACCTTAAGCGAAGGCTAGTTTGAGAGTTGGAAAACCTTTTAAAACCAAATTGTACCTTAAACTAGCATAACTTAAGAGTTAGTTAGGATTACCTTAAACTAGAATATAGTTTAAGAATTGGTTAGAAGTATCTTAAACTAGAATTAGTTTAAAAGTTGGTAAATACTAAATTGGCCTTACCCTAAGAATAGTTTATGAGCATTGTTTACACCATAAATCTTGAATATGAATGTTGAATGTTGAATGTTTAATATTGATTATTAAATGTCTTAACTGAACATTATGTGCATGATATCAAATGATTTGATTATGAATTACGATTCAATTTATATGGATGTTCAACGCATTAGATATGCTTTGTCAGCTTCAACGCTAAGCCTGTAGTATGTTTTATTTGCTACACGCACGTAAATAGAACGAATGATGTGACATGATCTGGACGGAGACGGATAAGAGATTTTCGAAATGAGTGTGATGGTTTTGAATTGAAGGAAAAATAAATTATGTTTTGTAATTGTGATTTTTTAAGCTTCCACAACATTGAAAACTCCGTACAGTTACTGTTATGAATATTATTGTGATTGTGATTTGTTAAGCTTCCGCAACATTGAAAACTTCCGCAATAGTGTTTTAAATTTTTACGATTACCAAATTAATACTTTAGTCCAAAAGGGGCTGCAGACCTTGACAGATTAGGGTGTTACAATGCTTATATTGTGAAGAAGGTAAAGAAGGTTCCATGTTCTATGTCAGCTCCAATTGTGCAATGGCGGAAGTGCGCAGGATGGCAATTCATTTTTAATGCTCGTGTCTCTCCCTGATTGGGACTAATTTTGTCCTAGTGAAGGTACACTTTTTGGTCAAACTTTATTCGAATTAAAATCTTCTTGTACCATTGCAATCAGACAGTCGAACTCTACAAAACAGTATAATTTTTATATTTATTTATAGTACGTTTTCTAACATCATATTTTTGGGGGATTGACTTAACAAAGTCAAAATTGATTTATTTAATACTTTATTCAAAAGATTCTCATTTTCAATTCATATCTCATGATTTATTTCAATAAATCATCTCAAAAGTTCACATCATAAATCAAATTCTTTATGTATTCTTGATTTGGGTCTACACTCTAGTTCCCAATCAAGATCACACAAACAATCAACATACTGAAATTTATCTCCATGAGATTCATCCAAATTTTGATATTGGATATCAACATATTCAATTTGGGCTAAAGCCAAACAATAATTTATCTTAATCAAAACAAATTTGTCTAATTGAATAATAATTAAATAAAAATTTTAGGGTGTGCTTTGGGGCGTTACAATTTGAATATTTCATGGAAAACTTAACAAGACATTGTGTTAATAATCGCTATACAGCTAAAAGAAACCGTTTTTTAAAATAAGACAAAAGTAGTAGTCTCAATTCCTACATACAACACAAGATAACAACTTGCTGAGCATAAACAAAATAGTATGCATTACAGGCAGGTGACAAACAGCCACACTGGTGTTTTAGTCCAAAAAACAGGTGTCCGATATGGTTTTACACTATCATTAAGAAACAAAAGTCTGTGACAGCTGCTCGGAAGAGCACTGGAAAAAACATTGTCAGACTATTAAAAAACAATTGTCTGGTTCAGTTTTTGGCATAGTGTAAATTTGTTTTCATAAACGTCGTTAAATGTTTTACTTGAGTAAAAAAATGCTTGAATAGAAAGCTTGTGTTTGTTTTTATGATGTTATGTTTACAAATACATTGTATTTTAATTCGTTTCCACTATTTTTAATAGAATTTCTTGTGATATATTATCAAAAATTAGTGTTTTCTCCTCAACTATCTAATTTGAAATATTCGATGAGAATGTTCAAGTTAGGGTGTTACAAAATGCTCGAATCTTATGGTTACTACTAAAAGCATCCCTAAAGCTCATAAGTTTCGACCCCACGGTCTTGTCCACCATCTGGTCAATATTTGGCAGAGGGAACGAATCCATGGGGAAGACCTTGTTCAAATCCGTGTAGTCTACACACATCCTCCACGACAGAGGCTTGGGTGCAAACACCATGTTTTCCAACCAATCTAGGTACTACACCTCCTGAATATGCCTTATTCTTTGGAGGGTTGCAACATCCTTCTTCATGGCATCTGCTCTCTCCTAAAATAGATGCCTTCGCTTCTGCTTGACTAGTTTTCTTGTGGGGAAGAAATCAACGCGATGGATAGCTATCTTGTAATTCAATCTCAGCATGTCATCAAGGCTCCAAGCAAAGACCTGTTTGAATCTCCGTAAGACGGTGGTCATACGACTCCTATGCTCTTCCCCAGATCCTTTGCTATTGATAGGTCTGTTTCGTTCTTATCCTTTTCTTCATATTCTAAACGTTATTGAACATAAATAATATTCAATCATCTTATAAAAAAATTCCACGAATAAAACTCTTGTTTTTGTTCTAAGAGTTGTAAAAAGAGATTCTTGATTATATTAGCTTAAATTATCCATTTTCTGTTCAAATATTGGTAAAAAGTGAATCAATCATTAAATGTACCAAGATTTGTGCTCCAACGAGCTTCCAGGAAGTCAAAACCAATGCTCGGGGACCAAAAGGACGAAACTTGGCCAAAACTATAACTCAAACTCGTGTAGAAGCCAAGCCGGAGGTTGGGGTATCCAAGTTAGACACCAAGACTTGGACACCGGGCAAGCTTGCGGTTGACAAAAGAGCTAACACATGGCAAAAATTGGTTGGACACAATGTTGGGGCGTCCAAAGTTGGACGCCCTGACTTGGACATCCTAGCTCCCTGCCTATATAAATAGCGCAGATCACCCCAGTCCAAGAAACCAATTCAAATCCATTGAGATTCTTTCCTCATTCCTTTCTCATTTTAGCTTATAGTTTAGTAGTAGTAGTTAGTTTGGAAGTGTTTTCCGAGATTTCAGCTCTAGATCAGTTCTATTCCTCTTGTTCAGAGGCTGTAAGTTTTCAATTTTTAATATAATGTTGATTTAACTATTTTGCATAGAATGAGTTACGTCCCGGACTCTGAGTCCGGACTAGTTTGGGAATGGTTCTCCTGAAATTCTTCTTGCTATATTTAGTTAATTAATATTCAAATATTTATTCAGCTATATATTGAAAAATATTATTCACTGTAAGACTGTTGTATTCAAGACAAATGGGGTAATTACGAATCTTAGAAATATGTAAGTAATGGTAGAAATACTATCGTTTCAACTGTAAATTAAATGTGATATAGTTAACCCCAATGATGTTCTTACCCTAAGTCCAGATCTTGCTTATACTATGTGAAATTATTTATTTTTTATGCATTGCTTCCTTTTGTTTGATTCGAGAAGACTTTCATAAACTTGTCCTAATCTTCCCATAGTTAGAGAAACTAGTTAATTCCCTCCGTCCACTCCTCAAGAGACACGACACTCGAAGAAAAAACTAACCTTTCATTGGGAAGGTTTGCTACTCGCTAAACTACTTCATCAAATGGAATCGTCCCTAGAGATTGGCATGGTTTTAGTCTAGTTTTTCCTAATTAGCTTGAGTAAAGACAAATTAGGATGATCTTCTCACATGATTTTCACTAATGATAAGTCGTTTTTGGGTTAGTTCTTTTTATTCATTTTAGGTATTTTTAATATTTTTAGTGTTTAATTTTTAGTTGTTTAGCTTAGTTTTATTTTAATTCTCATTTTTAAAATCTTTTTATTTTCTTTCAAAAATAGTAGTTTTTAATCATTTTTTACATTACATTATTTTTATTTTTTCTAACCCAAAATTTATCAGATATCTTATTTTTTGGAGAAAAATGTAGCAGAAGACCAAAGTAGAGTTCAAATTTGGAAAAAAGAAGTATTAAGTTTGGGCCAGAGTCCAAATTAAGCATCAATTATGATTATCCATCGGCCCAAGAACTCAAAGAGCAAATTAAATAAGGAAAAGTGTACAAGTCCTATATTATGAAATAAGTCAACGAGGCATTTGATTGACTCCATCAATTTTGAAGGAACGAGTCTGCCACTTCTTCGATCAACACCGGCGACTCTTTCGATGTCGTTCAGTGAAGCAATTCAATAATCTCCAACGTCTCTCCGCCAAGTTCGCCCAAGCGCTCCAACGGGAAGAATTCTTGGACTATAAATTGGAAGGCAAATAGCAACAATTCAGGGGGGAAACACACGAGAGAATAAAGCAGCGGCCAAGCAGCTGCTATGGCGGACGGCCGGCAGACGCGAACCGGCGGCGGCAAAAGCTCCGGCGAGCGGTGGGCAGTCTCCTCCAGCTCCAATTTCTTCATCTTCTTATCTTCTTCAACAATTTGGTAACCCTTATTTGTCAATTTCTTTTTCTTCACCAATTTCTTTGTAAAAGTGTTGTTTCAATTCAATTTTACATTTTTTTGTTTGTTGTGTTTGTTCAAAATATTCCAAAATGTTGGGGGAGAAGCAACAAGTAGGATACAACACCGACAAGGATCAACTTCAAGACAACCAACCAAACACTTAACCCAAAAATGGTGTTAACTAATTGGTTCGTGTGTTTTAGTCGTTGTGTAGTTTATTTGGTGTTAGTTTATACTTCTTATTTCTACGTTTGCTGTGTGCTAAAAATATGCACCTTTTGGGGAAGCTACACTTCCTATTTTTGGTGCCCTGAATATCCCTCAGCGCCCTCTTCTTCTCTTATTATGCAAATTGAGGGTAAAAACACTCAAACTCAGTCTACAAAGATGTCACAGCCCACCAACAACAACATACATAAGAGCCATCAACAAGAGAGAAGAAAAATCAGAGATATCACCCAAAAACACAGTGTCGCACCAGCTGCGATTACAGAAGATCCGTAGCTCCGATTGATGTGAAAATTGAACAGATTGAAGCCCTAAGTGTTGGGAACAATCTCTGAAAATTTCAGCTCAATCCAACGGTCGGATCTCAGGCGATGATCGAATTTGTGCGGCTGGTCTGTAAATTCTGCACCAGCACCTTTCCTCTCTCGATTCTGTTTTTTTTCTTTTCTGCTTTGTCCGTTAGTCAACAAAGTAAAGGAAAAACTTTCCTATTATTGGACCCCCACAAAGAAAAATTGAACCCAAATGAAAATGGGCTGGACCCACAACAATCTCCCCCTCCAGCCCGATTCGGGGAAGATAATACGCAAACCACATCAAGAAGACATACCTGCAAGCTTGGAACAAAACTCAAGCTTGCTTCCGGGAACCACCTTTGTCAACATATCAGCACCATTCTTGTTTGTGTGAATCTTCTTCAACTTCATTAGTTGCTTTTCAATGATATCACGCAACCAATGATACCTCACATCAATATGCTTTGTGCGAGCATGATACATGGTGTTTTTGCTCAAGTCTATAGCACTTTGACTATCGCAAAACACAACATACTCACCTTGCTTCAATCCCAACTCTTGAAGGAAACGCTTCAACCAAATCATCTCTTTGCTTGCTTCCACTGTTGCTATATACTCTGCCTCAGTTGTTGACAAAGCTACACACTTCTGTAGCTTGGATTGCCATGAAATGGCTCCCCCTGCAAAAATTAAACAAATAACCTGAGGTAGACTTCCTGTTATCAAGATCTCCAGCCATGTCAGCATCTGTAAATCCCTCAAGAATAGGCTCGCTGCCTCCAAAACACAAACTCAGCTTTGAGGTGCCCCGCAAATATCTCAAGATCCACTTTACAGCTTCCCAGTGAATCTTTCCTGGATTAGTCAAGAATCTGCTAACCAATCCAACAGCATGTGCAATATCTGGCCTTGTACACACCATAATGTACATCAATGAACCAACAGCAGAAGAATAAGGAATATGAGACATGTTTTCCTTCTCTTTCTCAGAACTAGGACAAGAACGCTTGCTCAACTTGAAATGACCGGCAAGTGGTCTATTAACTGGCTTAGCATTCTTCATATTGAACCTTTCAAGCACCCATTCAATATACTTCTCTTGTGAGAGCCAAAGCTTACCAACTTTTCTATCACGAACAATTTCCATGCCAAGAATTTGCTTCGCATTACCCAAATATTTCATTTCAAAGGACTTTGACATATCCTCTTTTAACCTGCGAATCATCTCAACATCTTGTCCCACTATCAACATATCATCAACATACAAACAAAGGATAATGAAGTTATCATCAGAGAACTTTCTAAAATACACACAAGGATCTGCAGTAGTACGTCTGTACCCATTGCTACTCATGAAGGAATCAAACTTGCGGTACCATTGCCTTGGTGCTTGCTTGAGCCCATAAAGACTCTTTTTTAGATTGCAAACAAAATTCTCTATTCCTTTGACTTCAAATCCTTCCGGCTGCTCCATGTAAATTTCATCATCCAAATCACCATGTAAAAATGCAGTTTTTACATCAAGTTGCTCAAGCTCAAGATCCAAACAAGCCGCTAGTCCCAAAATCATGCGAATGGAAGTCATCTTCACCACTGGTGCAAAAATTTCATCGTAATTGATGCCTTTCTTCTGATGGCATCCCTTCACCACCAGTCTTGCCTTCCGTCTCACTAGCTTCTGGCCATCTTTCTTGTTCTTGAACAACCACCTGCTCTTCAAGACTTTGTTCCCTTTTGGACGCTTCACCAAGTCATATGTTTGATTCTTCTTCAAAGAATCCATCTCCTCTTGCATAGCCTTCAGCCAATGGTCTTTGTCTGGATGTGACAAGACCTCTTTAAGGCTTTCAGGCTCCCCCTCATCAGTGATTAGGATATATTCTGAACTTGGATAAAGTCTTGAAGGTTGTCGAACTCGGGTTGACCTTCTCAATGTTGGCTCTTCCACCGGTGGGCTGTTTTGCTCCCCCTGATTAGAAGACTCTCCACTTTCTATTTCAACAGCTTCATCATCAGGTTGTGGCACAATCTCTGGTTGTACCTCTTCAATACGGTCATGTTCATGAGTATTTTCATGACCATCATCGGGAGCATCACCTGTTTGTTGAACATCTGGAACAGAAACATGAGACATATCAATAGCACCATGAGATAAATCAGGATAATAAGTATTACCAGCACCTAAGAGATGAAAGCCCATCTCGTGCTCGTAAAATACAACATCTCTACTCCTCACAACTCTTTTCTTTGCTGGATCATAAAGCCTGTAACCAAACTCTTCATCACCATATCCAACAAACACACAAGGAGAAGTTTTGAAGTCAAGCTTCAATCTCTGTTCCTTCGGTACATGCATGAATGCCTTGCATCCAAACACCTTCAAATGGGAATAAGAAGGATCTCTCCCAAACCATACTCTCTCAGGAAAATCAAACTCCAAAGGAACTGATGGTGCTCTGTTTATTAAGTACACAGCGGTTCCAACTGCTTCTCCCCAAAATGACTTAGGAAGATTAGACATCCTAAGCATACATCTCACTTTCTCAACAATAGTTCTGTTCATCCTCTCGGCAACACCATTATGTTGTGGGGTACCAGGTTCTGTTCTTTCATGCCGAATGCCATATCTTGAACAATATGCTTTAAACTCATTTGAAGTGTATTCACCTCCATTATCAGTTCGAAGACGCTTCAATTTGCAATCTGTCTCCCTTTCCACCATGGCATGAAACTTCTGAAAGATGCCAAACACATCGCTTTTGTGCTTCATCATATAAACAAAAGTTCTCCGAGTAGCATCATCAATAAAAGTAACAAAGTATTTGTTACCACCAAGTGATTCCACCTCAATAGGACCACACACATCAGAATAAACCAACTCTAGTTTCAGTTTCTTTCTCCTGGATCTCCTCGGAAAAGAAACTCTATGCTGCTTTCCTGCTAAACAATTATCACAAGGGTCAAGTGAAATGGTAACATCAGCAGGAATAAGAGACTTACCAGCCAACAGCTTTATACCCTTCTCACTAACATGGCCCAATCTGCGATGCCATAAGTTAGGAGAAGTTTTCTCCTCAACAGCATTCAACTCACTAGCACACACTTTAAAGTGTGTCTTATACAAAGTGCAACAAAGCTTGCCACGAGCAACAGTCAAAGAACCCTTAGACAATTTCCATTTACCCTCACCAAAAGTATGCTTGTAACCTTCTTGATCAAGTACATTAGCAGACAATAAATTGAGGCGTAAATCTGGAATGTGGCGAACATCTCTCAAAGTCATATAGCACCCAACACTGGTTTGAACCCGAATATCTCCAATTCCAACAATACT